TAATTTTTGACTTCTTCTCTCACAGGTGAACCTCACTTTTCTTCTAATAGTCAAAAAATCAATTTTCAAAATCTCTTCCAAACGGGGCCTTAGTCTCCGATGTGGTAGATGAAAATATCACTACAGGCCACAAACTTAAAAATTATTGTATGTTCATTATTAAACTTCAATTTATTTCAATTGTATCACCTAAGTTATACTGTTGTTCCAATTTGATTATTCTATATGTAATCATTATCAGAATGACAAGATTCATTACATGGCAACTCATAGCATAGTTCGATTAATAGAATGGATCTAATATACATATTATTTATTATCAAGGAGAGCTTTCAAAATTGAACATGCTTGACAACTCGATTTGCCAATAATATAATTTGCATCAAGAATTTCATGAGCCGGACCGTGAAAGTCAAATAAAATACACATATAAGTTTAGTGATCAAATTGAAATAATTTTTTTCTTTGAAAGTTTTAAAATGAAATTGAACGACTAACACAAAATAGAGTTGTAAGTTGGGTGAATTCTTAGTAAATTTCCCGAGGTGGTAGGCACATGGTTATTTATTTTCTTATTCACTTATTTTATTGGATACAGAAAATACAATAGTTGGATGGAAAAGTTAGTGTTGCTATGGGTACAGAGATTATTTAACAAAATTTATACAGAAATTCTAAACACACACACATGCACGAGGTGCGTGGTGTTTTTTTTCCAATATAAAGCTCACATGGGTCCCACCCGAGTATCCTGTTTTTTATCTGTAGGAATAATTCTGTACGTTCATCATTATTGAAAGTGATTTGAGTTGGCCAAAAGTCATCCTCCTCTTCTGCCCCATCTGCACTCGTGACAACATAATAGAAATAAAGAAAAGAGGTTATGGACAGTTCAAAAGGATATAAAAGTTGAAAATGATCATCACTTTGATTCCTTTTGCCTACCTCTAGGTCCTCTTCCATATATTTTGGTCCAACGAGTGATTCGTCGATTCGTCCGCTCAGCTCGTCTAGACTCGGTCTATGAGCTGCTCAGGCTTGTCTAGAACAAGGCTAGCTGAGCCCAAAAAAAATTCGATCAAGTTCGGCCGAGCGGCTCATGGATCATGGGCTTGTTTGAAAATGAAACCAAATTGTACTGTGAATAAAGAATGATCATTTACTTTGTCTTCGAGTTTGATGGATACGTTCAATAATCACGTTCTCTGCTTTTTCAATCCTATTTTATCGTTTAGCTTAAATTGAAACGAAAAACTTTACAAGCTGATTTTTTGTCTAAAATTAAAAAATCATTTTACTTTTACAATTTACTATTATTTTTGTGTGTTTCCACTATCCTCTTGTAACCTAATATGATGTTGATAGGTATAGAGCATGAGTGAACGTTAAAGGAATATCAAAATTGTGGTTGACTCCTCTATCACCGTATAGCACGTTTTTAGAAGCTGTGATCACCCACTTATTGATTATATGGATAGAAGTGTGACTCGACAATGACCACCACCACTAGAATATCACATATTTACCTACCTTAAAGGGAATTCTACAGCTGACTACAAAATGGAAGCATCTGTCGATATTTTTATGGACCATATTTAGTTAATTATTTTCGATAGATAAATCACTTATTTTCGTAACACTTGATCCATGGCCACAACATTCCTTTTTCTGAAACTTCAATGAACTTTGCAACAGATGATGGCGCAATAGTGGACAAGCTTCCTTACTTATTTTAATTTTGATCAAAAGTTTATTTCCGTCAAAAAGTAAGGTGGCACCTATCAGCCCAACTCAAAAGAAACTAACGAAAAAAAAAAAAAAAAAAAAAAAAAATTGGATT